TTTTTTTTTTTTTTTTTTTTTTTTTACTTTGGACCGACTCAACGAGGAGGTAACCAGAAGAATATAAATCGTGTAACAAATTTCCAGTATGTATGAATATGTGTGAGTGTTCGTGAGATGTGTGTATGTGTGTATGATATGTCGAGCGTGCGTGCGTGCGTGCTGCATCGCTATATCAATATATAAATTATACATAATCGGATGTCAAATGTCGGATTGTAAAATGTCAATGTCAATGTCAATGCTGCCTTGCCTTCTGTGGGTAGCGTAGTTTCCCGAGACATGACCCATGCCATCACAGGACGACGTGGGGCACTGTATCAGCTCCTTGCCATCGCGACCACGAGGGGTGGGCCGAGGCGCGAAATTCAACCGCCTCATATTCATACTGCACCGAACAACATCAACACGATAAGACACACTGAACGCGATTGCTCGTCTCTCGTATGCCTGCACCTAATATAGATATTCTTTCGTACGCGTAATCGCTCGCTACATTGTACAAATTTCATATCGCCGGCGTACGATTCCATATCGAATCGTTAACACTATAACGACCATTTACTTTCGACAGTAACGTTGATCGGAGGCTAGCAGCTTCTACTAAGAATTTATAAAATGTAAGTTTTCATTGTATGTAAACGAACGATCGATAACTATGAATCTATGATAACTATGAAAAATTGAAAAGGCAAAAGTACTAAAAATATGTGGAGATAAATGTTTAAACTTGTTACAACTAGACTGCGTAATTTTATACAATTAATATTCAAAGCAGAGTATTAAAGGGAACGAATGTTTCTCTTCGCGTTCTATTCTTTTTTTAGCAACATTTTGTAAAAATATACAAAAATCTGCAATCTCGTTGTAACACATTTTTCGACGGTAGCGAAAACACTGAACATCACGGGATCACCAGCGTCAGTGGTTGTTATAGTGCTAACGGAGAACACGTCCGAGGGCTCCGACAGAAAAGTGAAAAATATATCCATGATTTTCCATTAAAGGAGAGGACACAGAAACACCTTCAAATAAAGATCGTTGCTTTCCCTCTGAGTTCCCATCGAGTTCATTTTCGCGAGATCCAATGAAAATTTCGCACGTCTAACAACGAAAATAAAGAACGATAGAGGGTTTTTAATTTCGAACAACGTCGCTCCGGACATCCAGGGTACGAGCGTGGCCGGAACGCAATCGCCACGGCGCGGTGCGGCGTCGTTACAGAGCTGGGATAGCAAACCGGAAAGTTTTATTGCGCTTCGCAACTTTTCCTTCTCGGCCAGAGCCTCGGAGGTGGAGGTTGCGCCGGTGCACGGACAGCCGGGCGTGATAGCGACATATGAGAGAGAGGAAAAAAAAAATATAACGCGGCAAAGTTCGGCAGCCGGTCGGTGGAGAAAAAGCGTGGAAGAGGCGCGGCAGCAGCAGGAGGAGCAGGAGGCGGAAGGAATATAGCCAGAGCATGAGAGAGCGGTTTGCTTCTGCTTTTTCCTCTCGTCTCCTCGTAGTCTCGTAGATGAACGCGAAACTACCGCCGGGCTATGAGAAGCCTCGAAAACCTCGATGGCCCTTGAGTAGCCGCGATATTGCCGGCCAACCGAGCCGACGGATGCGGACTTGAGTGCAATTCACCGGTACGCCCTCCGGATGCTCTGCCTTCTGTATTTTCCCAGCCTTCGTCTAACTACCAACTAACTTCTCTGTCTTCGTACCCGAACAATAAGTCGCGTTGTCGTTGTTCGTTCGTCTCTTTCGTTCGAATTGCGAATCGACCGAACAGGGGATTAATTTACGAAGGTTTATTTATGGGGAAGAATGAGGAGAGCACGTCTTAGAACGGCGTGGAATTTATTTTCTTATTGCCTCGCATGAAGTGGACGGCGAGTCCATTTGACGAGATTAAGCTCGATAAAGGTGATACGATTAGAGTTTAATGAGAATCGAAACTGAAAGTGAATGGCGCTTCTTGTCTATTCTAGAATTTTACTTTGAAAAAATATGTACATAATATGATATTAATGATTGATAATAGAATTGAAGTATTAACGGCTCTAGTATATCTTTCATAAAACAATGAATGTTACAAAATATTACGTTGTATCTGAAACTGTCCCAAAAATTTCAACTGCACGTGAGAATATTTTTAAAAAACTATAATGACAAATTTCTTTTAAAAGAGAAAAGAAAATAGAATCTATAGATACTATTATGCAGTTGAATTTAATTCGCCACATTTATCCTATTATTTTCTTAAAATTTGTCTTCAAAGTCGAATGTCCTCACGACGGCAATATTTTTCTACGTGCTTTTTTCTACTTTATGATCAATTTTTAGTTGCAAATATTCAACTACTTGATAGTGGTAGGAGA